TACTATGAATCACTTCCCTTCTCAAGATGCCCATTTAAGCTTGGTAATTCCAAACTGCTACAAAGGTGTTGCTCCCCATCCCTGACCTAATTAGTTGTTTATTGAAATAGGTGGTAACACATGGTAAAGAATTCAAACACTACCAAATGTTGTACATTAAAAACAAGTCAACCTCCCCACAGGTGGCTACTATTACTTGTTTCTTAGGCCATCTTCCAGGGATGGCCTGTAAGGATATGAAGTTTTTGACCTGATTTCAACAAAGTCTCTTTAGCAATACTGCTCAAACCGGGATCTGCAGACTCCAGGGGTTTCTCATGTTCTTAAGATTTACAAATTCTCTATAAAATTTTAAATTTTATTTTCATTCAATAAATATGTAAAATTAATGTAACATTACTATAATCTATAAAAGTACCTTATAACTGACATATAAATGTAGTGTCCATATTTTCATTTGTATTTGGTATTTCATTTCATTGGGTATTATTTTAATTGAAATGAAGGCCAAATAATAACCTACTATGCTATATAAAGGTTTCACAGCAGTTCAAGTAGAACACAGTAGGAGAATGTACTCATTCAACCACATTTTTTTTTTTATATTGTGGTAAAATATACATAACATAAAAGTTACCATTTTGGCCAGCTTTAAAAGTACAGTTCTGTGGCATTAAGTGCACTCACACTGTTGGGCATCCATCACCAACATCCATCTCCAGAATTTTTTTATCTTCCCAAACTGAAACCCTGTATTCATTAAACATTAACTTCCCATTCCTCCCTGCCCCCAGCCCCTGGCGACCACCCTTCTCTTTCTTGTCTCTATAATTTTGACCATTCTAAGTACTTCAAATAAGTGCAAATACAATATTTGTCTTTTGATGACTGGCTTTTTCACTTAGTATAGTGTCTCCAAGGTTACTCCATGTTGTAGCACGTATCATTTGAATTTTCTTCCTTTTTAAGACTGAAAAATATTCCATTGTACGTTTGTGCAGCATTTTGTTTATTCAATTCATTTGCCAAGGGACGCTTGAATTACTTTTACCTTTTGACTATAGCAAATAATACTGCTATGAACATGGGTATACAAATATCTGTTCATGTCTCTTCTTTAACTTTTTTTGGGTGTATACCTAGAAGTGAAATTGCGGATCATTTGGTAGTTCTATGTTTAATTTTTTTGAGGAGTCACCATATTATTTTCCACAGGGGCTGCACCATTTTCCATTCCCACCAGTAATGCACAAGGGTTCTAATGTCTCCACGACCTCACCTACACTTGTCATTTTGTTTTTTTTGATTTAATGGGTATAAAATGGTATCTCATTGTGCTTTTGATCTGCATTTCCTTAATAATCAGCCATATTGATAATCTTTTCATTTACTTATTGGCCACTGTATATCTTCTTTGGAGGATCAACCATCTTCTAATGAACACCTACTTATCCCAGGCACTGTGTTAATATCCTGAGATTAAATAGTGAACAAAATCAGATGTAGTTACTATCCCCAAGGAACTTAGCATATTACATATTTATATCATGAGTACTGTATTTTGTGGATGCCAACTTTACGTGACAGTAAATGCAGTAATAAATAGGAAAAGAAGAATTTTTCTGTTACTGAATCCACAATGTTTAGGACTTTAATTCCATTTAATGCAGATTTTAATGACACAATGCTAACCATATCTTCAAGTATAATAATTTAAGAGGTAACACGACACAGTGCTTAAGAACGTGTCTTTGGGAGGCCAGCCTAATTACTCTGTTAGTGCAGTGTCTCCCTTCAGCTGGAGCTGTAGCCCCAGGAAAGCCTTGCCTGTGCCTTTGGAAAAAAAAAAAAAGAAAGAACTCATATTTGGAGTCAGATTGCCAGGTCTGAATCCCTGAGTTGCCTCTTACTTGCATGAAATCTTAGACAAATTATAATACCTCTCTGTGCCTCAGTTTTCATACCTAGAAAGTGGAGATGGTAATTGTGGGGATTAAATGTTAACACATGTAAAGCCATGCACATTGCAAGTGCTCAATACATGAAAGCAATTTTTTATTATTAGGACAGCTCTACCCAGTTATCAAGTGATAGTCCCACTAAAATTGGAATTTTGAGCAGTGCTTTGTTGGCAGAGTTTTATAAAAGTTCAAGGTCTAGTTATTCTGAAACAGCAAACAATACCTTGAAGTTATTGATACCATTTGGTACAACCTACTTATATGAACAGGCATTCTTTACCACAGACTTACTGAAGTCAAAATCGAGATCTGTAGCAGTCATACTATTATTAAACTCAGCAATATTAACATTAATTACTAATATTAATATTATATATTAATATATAATATATTAATATTAATAATATTAATAAACTCAGTATTGTTTCAGCAAAACAATAGTATATGTCACATTAAATCACCAGTTCTCAATCAGAGGCGATTTTGCCCCATTTGGTAAATGGAGATATTTTTGATTGCCACAATTCAGAGGGTACTACTGACATCTAGTGGGTAGAGGCCATGGATGCTGCTAAACATCCTACAAGGCACAAGCAGGACACACCCCTACCCCCCAGAATTATCCATCCAGTCTACAATGTCAATAGTGCCAAGGTTGAGAAACCATATATTAATGTTATTTTGAATTTATCCATTTGGTAGTTTTGTTCACTTTGTAACAAATACTTGGTTTTATAGTTTTTTAAGAGCAATATGCTTGAGTTTATACTTAGGTTAATGTGTACATATATTCTATATTATAATAAAATGATTTTTATCAATATTAGGCATTCATAACAATTTTCCCTTTATTTGATTGTGAAAAACACTGCTCTGCAGAAAGTATGCAATATTTTCTGTTTTTAGTAGTCTTTTTTCCTTCCATAAATAGCTGAACACCTACTATATGGCAGAAACTGTGCTGGCTACAATGATGAAGAAAACCACTATAGTCTTTGCCCCTATGGGCAAACTATGATGGAGAAAGACTATTAACAGTTAGCAAAAATAAATAATATGAACTGTGCTAAGTCCTATAAGGGAGATAAACAAGCTGCTGTGATAGAGAATAATGGCATATGGTGAGGATCCTTACACAGATGGTCAGAGAAAATTTTTTCTGAGGTGACTTTAAAGCTGAGACCTTAAGAAGTCAAGCTTCCACAAATACTTCCTACGCATTTTCTTCTATATACCTGCCATTGTGCTAGTTTTATAGGGGAAAATAACGAGAGGAATCTGATTTATAGGTTTTATATAATAAGAATGTCATTTTTCTGCTCTTCCACAGCCTATACCGCCAATCCTTATAGAATAGGCATGACTTTTTTTTGTTTTCACTTAAATTCCAGTTAGTTAACATAGTGTAACACTAGTTTCACAGGTGTATAATACAATGATTCAACACTTCCATACAACACCCAGTGCTCATCACAATAAGTGCACTCCTTAACCTCCATCACCTATTTCACCCATTCCCCCACACACCTTTCCTCTGGTAACCATCAGTTTGTTCTCTATAATTAAGAATCTGTTGCTTGGTTTGGAATTGGCATGACTTTGTGATCAGACAGAGCTAGATTCAAATCTTGCCATTACCAGGACTAGTCACCATAAATTTCTCTGAGCTTCAGTTTACTCTTTTGTAAACTGGGGCTAACAATACCTAGGTTACTAAGTTATTGAGAGGATTGGATAATATTACTGAAAGCAGAAGTAGAAAAGAATGGTTCAAATACTGGAGCCAAGCGGACCTGGGGTTCAAGACGAAGCTCACTAATTACTAGCTACCAGATACAGGGAGTTAATCTGTGAAACGGAGAGGTAATTGTGAAGATTAAAAGAGATAATGCATACAGTACCTAGCCCTTCCTCCTCATACATTCCTGGTTATATGAAAATCGCCTTCCAAATTCTCCTAGTGCAGAAATTTCCTGGGAAAGGAGTAATGAGGGAAACACTCCATTTTTCAGTCAACAAAACTGGCCGACCCCATATAGCGCGTTAAGCGCTACGTATTGGGACTAGCTTTCTTTTTTTTTTTAATTTTTTATTTATTTGCGAGAGAGAGAATGAGAGACAGAGAGCATGAGAGGGAGGAGGGTCAGAGGGAGAAGCAGACTCCCCGCTGAGCAGGGAGCCCGATGCGGGACTCGATCCCGGGACTCCAGGATCATGACCTGAGCCGAAGGCAGTCGCTTAACCAACTGAGCCACCCAGGCGCCCTGGGACTAGCTTTCAAAGCTCACCTTAAAGCAGTGCAAGCGTGAAAATGGGTGAAAGCGCCTTTTTCACTTTTACATCCAGTTCCCCAGCAACTCTCGCTTAGACACCTCAACCTTAGGCCGCGGCGCGTGCTCCCTCCTCCGGGGCCCGCCTCCTGTTTGCCGGCCCGGGCCCAGCCCTCTCGAGGTGAGGTGTAGCGCGCCGACGCCCCTCAGGCACTCCCCGGGTTACCAGCCCAGGGACTCGCCCCGCGAACACCTCAGCCCCTGCAAGCCCCGCCCTTCGACCCCGCAGACTCCTCCCCCGGACACTGGCGCAGGCCCGCCCATTCAGCGCTCCCGGGTTCCCGCGCCCTGAGCTGGACCGTACCTGGAGGCCACTCCGCTTGTTCCATGTGAAAATGGACCCTGGGTACCCGCTCAGAGCCAAGAGCAGTTCGTGGATCATTCCCACAGCGGACCGCGAGTCCCTATATCCGTCGCCCCCTCCTCCAACGCCCCTCCAGGGGACCGCGGAGGCGAATGCTGCCTCCTCGACAAGCGCACAAGCCCCTGGGACAGGCGGTTCGTCCTGAATCCCAAGTGGCAAGACAAATGCTGTTGGAAGAGCTGAGGGGAGATATTACGGGATAGGCGCCCCACGTCCCGGAAGTGTGGCAGGCTCCGCGGGGCCCACTCAGTCGCTCCTGCCGAGGCTCTGCTGGAGGAGTCTCCGTAGTTGCCCTTGCGCATGCGCTCTCAGTGCCCGAGTTGCCCGGTAGGACTTCCGGTTTGAGAGCTGGAATGGGAGGCTGGAGAGCCGGGGCCGGGGCCCGACCCTAACAGGGTGAGGCTGGCCCGGGGGCAGAGATGCGAGTGGGTTGAGGGGCAGCCTCGAGAAGGAGACGCTCCCAGGGGTGGCCGGAGGGTGCTCTCAGGGCGCCTTAGCCCAGTCGGAGGCCTCTGGAGGAACCGCACGACGGCCCCGAGAGTGACCTGGCCAGAGGGACGGAAGACAAAGAGGCCGGAATCCCGCGCCCGCCGCTCCTTGAGCCGAGTCCCGCTCCCGCGAACCCCACAGCACCCGGAGCCCCTGGCCAGCAACCGAACTCGTCCTCAGGAGACCCATTACTACTGCCCCCCTCGGACTCCCTCTCTCCACCAACTCAGTGTGACTCCCCACGCCCACCGGCCCTCGCTTCAGGAACCAAAACCAATCCTCCCAATGCGCGAGGTTTCCCGTCAGTAGTTCCCGAATAGTTGCTGAGCGGTTACTAACGCTGTGAGGGAAAACAAAGATCCAGTATTCAGTACTTGATTTTTGTCCCGGGTGGGAATTGGTAGTTGTGTAGTCTGAGGGGGCGGGGAGGATGTAAAGGGCCTCCGGAACGACTGCGGAGGTACTGGGGGAGGTGGGCTGCGACCCGCTGGACAGAGGCTTTTTGTTGCCTTCAGCAGGATGGTGACTTGCCTTTAGAGCCTCTCAAGCTCCAGGTCTCCCATATGGTTCGAACTTACTATGCAACATTGGTCAGGGGAGCTAGATGGGGTCAGGTTTGGGGGGAGGTGGAAGAAGGGCAGACAATACTTTATTCTTTGCTGCTTCCCCGGGCTCCTTGGAAGTCACCCAGAAATGGTAGCTTTTGAAAGGTCTCTCCATGCTGTTTTGGCTTGCTGTCCTAAAGCTGGTGCTACCTCAGATGGCCACGTGGAGTATATGGGAAGTCAGGCCAGCTCTTGGCAAGACTTTAGACATATGAGTGTATTTCTTCTCATAGTGCCATCTCTCTCTACCCTAGGAGGAAACTCTTCTTACATTTGAGAGACTCATCTGCAGGTGACTCTCCAAGGACATGGGAAAATAGGTGTAAGCCCTCGAACCCTTAAGTGGCGGGGAGCTGCTTTCTGCTGTGAATGATGGCCAAACCCACTCTGAGAGGGAATGGCACTAACTCTGAGACGTTCCGACAGCGCTTCAGGAGATTTCACTACCAGGAGGTAGCTGGGCCCCGGGAGGCTTTCAGCCAACTCTGGGAACTTTGCTGTCGTTGGCTAAGGCCGGAGGTTCGCACCAAGGAGCAGATTGTAGAATTGTTGGTGCTAGAGCAGTTCCTGACCATCTTACCTGGGGAGATCCAGAATTGGGTACAGGAGCAATGTCCAGAAAGTGGAGAGGAGGCAGTGGCTCTGGTGGAAGATTTAGAAAGAGAGCCTGGAAGACCTGGACGTTCGGTGAGAAGGGAGGGGGAATTCAGAAGTGTGTGACTGGGAAGGGGCAAGGATAAAGGGCCAAGGTATATACAGGTTTAAAGACGGGCACAATCTCCTTTGGTGATGCTTATACTTCTGGTCCCAGAACAGGTAACTTTTTCAGATAGAGCTTATCTGGAGATGCTACCTGGGTGTACCTTTGCTACCCTGTCATAATGAGTTATTCATAGTTTTATAGTTTTTTACTTAAGAGGGAAGAAAGGGGAATTATTTTTTAGCTTGTAGGTGGGTTTACTTTCTTGAGCTTTTCTTTCTGGAGTTCCAGCTGCTCTAAGCTAATGGAATAAGAAAGACCCTTGTTCACTGTTAAACCTCCTCCCCTGCCAAACCTAGCCAAGTCCCAAAAGGATGAACTCTTTTGGGGTATTAAATAATCTCCTCTGGGAATGCCCCTCATTATAACCTTGCAGTGACAATTAATGGGGGTTGTTTCTAGGTCACAGTCTCTGTGAAGGGGCAGGAAGTGCGCTTGGAGAAGATGACACCCCTGAAATCATCACGAGAGTTATTAAGTGTTCGGCAGGAGTCAGTGGAACCCCAGCCCAGGGGTGTAACCAAGAAAGAGAGGGCAAGGAGCCCAGACCTGGGACCACAGGAGCAGATGAACCCAAAGGAGAAGCTCAGACCTTTTCAAAGGAGCGGTGAGGAGTAGATTCATATGGGAAGATAGGATGCCATTCTAAATTGGGAAGTAGGGTTGGGAATAGTGAGTGGGAAAGGGATTTCAGGAAATGAGTTGAAATTGTAGAGTATGCAGTTGTTGGAGACCTCCTGAAGGTATGTAGTTTAGCCCTCTGGTGTAGTATTCTTGTATTTATTCTTTTGACAAGTCTGCCAGAGGATGGATTCCTACTTTTTATCAGAATTGGAACTATTTTATTTCCTCTTGGTAAGGATGATACTAGGTATTTTCTAGATAAAAATTCTTTTGTATACATGAAGGCACAGCCACCTTTCAGTCATTTTCCTTCTCCAAATTAAACTGTATTGTTTCTTTAAGCTCTTCCCCAGAAGCTCCATTCTTTAGACCTACTAAGTTTTTGTTCTTCTCCTTTGGAAATGAAGTCTTCCAAATATTAATCGTGGAGAACTAAATTATATTATCCCAGGGTCTGGTAGGTAGAGGCAGAGTAGGAATTTTACTTCAGAATTTCATTACATTTTCTTTCAGTAGAGCTCAACTAATTATTTGGTGCTTATTGTTTACTTGGTAACTCCCAGGACTCTTACTGCTTTCCCCATTGTTTTTGTGCCAGTGCTTATTGTTGTACTTGATTTTGTAGAACTTGTTTTTCTTCTTTGTACTCCATTGAACTCCATATTATGCTTGTTTGGGGTTTTTTGATCATTTCTTTAACTTGTTGAGGTTGTTTTGAATTTTGATCTTATCATCCAAGAAGCTAGCCTTCTCAGCCATTTGTAATGGTCTTTGTTTAGTAATCCAGATGCAATTCCTCAACTCCAAACAGAGACTTGCAGAATTAATCAGTTTTTGAACACCTACCATGTATTCCAACACCTTGCAAGTTACTCTGCAATAAGTAAAGGTGCCTGGTCTCAAAGAGCTTAGGGTATGATTGGAAGCAAATATGTGCCGAACTAAACTGTACTGAAACCGTGCCAAACAATGACTGTTACTCAATTTGTGTGAGTACAGTAGGGGTTTGGCAGAGTGAGAGATGAGGGAGGGCAGTAGGGAAGACTTCGTAGGGAGGCTCTGGCAAATACAACTTCTCATAGAATGGGTTAAATTTGAATAGGAGGGACTTAAAGGAAAGGGACAGAGTGATGAATAATAGTATGCTGTGTTCTGGAGAGGAGTCTGATATAAATGAACAGTGCATGGTAGGCACTTGGGTTAAGGTTCAGTAGTATAGTGTTTAAGCTGAGGAAGCAAGAGCCTGGAGTTAGGTAGGACAGTTACTGCTACATTTATCTGGCTGTGAGAGGATAAGGGGTCTAGACTTGGATGGTGGCACAAGGAACAGAGCAGGACATACTATGGAAAAAACTTGTAGAACTTGGTGACAGTGTGAAGGAAATGGAGGAGTTGAAGTTTCCCCCCCTACTCTCTTACCCCTTGAAATCACTCTGAGTTTAATTCTCTAGCTCCTAGTGGAGAACTTATAGGAGATAGGAGGTGACTGTTCCCAGCAATATCAAGACCTCCTATAAGACTGTTCCTAGCAGTGCCAAGACCTATTAAATGGTGAAGAGGGCTAGGGAGCAACATGGAACAGAAGTATTTGCTCTGAATACACAAACAGAACCTTTTCCTCTCTTGTCACCCTACTCTGGAAAATACTCTTTTTTTTTGAGGTTTTATGTATTTTCCCCACTTTCTCCAACCCATTGAACTTTCTGAAAACACTTCCTTAGACACTTTGTTTATAAGCCTCTTGGATTCAAAAAAAGGCAGGTCTGAACTGAGAGGTATTTTTATGATCAATCCAAATTATGATATCCTTTGTTTGCTTCCCTGCAAGCAGGATTTCCATTTCCTAAATCCGGTGTGGTCTCCAGGTTGGAGCAAGGAGAGCCATGGATCCCTGATCTGGGCTCCAAGGAGAAGGAACTCCCAAGAGGCAGTAACACAGGAGACAGACAAATGCATGCTGATCTGTTATCACCCAAGAGAGAGAGAAGAAGCTGGGTGGACCAGGATCACTGGGGCTTTGAGGATGAGAAGGTAGCAGGTGTGCACTGGGGCTACGAAGAGACCAGAACTCTCCTTGCAATTCTCAGTCAGACTGAGTTTTATGAGGCTCTCCGAAACTGTCATCGAAACAGCCAAGTGTATGGGGCTGTGGCTGAGCGGCTCCGGGAGTATGGCTTCCTTCGGACCCTGGAACAGTGTCGGACCAAGTTCAAAGGTCTCCAGAAGAGCTATAGGAAAGTCAAGAGTGGTCACCCACCTGAGACCTGCCCCTTCTTTGAAGAGATGGAGGCCCTGATGAGTGCCCAGGTCATTGCATTGCCCAGTAATGGCTTGGAAGAGGCAGCCTCTCACTCTGGCCTGGTAGGCAGCGATGCCGAGACTGAGGAGCCAGGGCAAGGGGGCTGGCAGCATGAGGAAGCAGAAGAAGCTATGGCTGAAGAGTCTGACAGTGATGAAATGGGCCAGGAGGCCACCCCCCAAGACCCTGACAACTCAACTGCACCTGTTCTTTTTCGAAGCCCAAGTGGTAAGAAGCATTTCTTTTTGGGGTTCAGGGATTAGATTTGAGTAGTTATGAGACTGCATGTGCAGTCGGGAAGTTTAATGTTGCCTGTCAGCTTTGTTACTTAAATAGAGAACAAAGAGGCACTTCTCAGTTCTATGTGTATTTCATTCTCTTTCGTGGGAAAATTAGATAATAGTAAGGAGGGAGTCATTTTAGATACTTTAAAGAAGTACAATCAGAAAATTCTGGAGAGCTCTTTAAAAGAATACCATTCCTTCCATTTCTTTAAAATATTTTTTTCCGATTATAAAATCACTGACTGCTGAGAAAAACCTGGCACTATACTATGTTTAAGGAAAGTATTTATTGAGCACCGTATACAAACTGGTGCTTCATCTTTCATCTCAATGTCCATTTGTGTTCCTTTTCACTTAGCATAGCATAGTGAAGGACTGCCCAAAGTTGGGGAAACATATTCTAAGACTCCTCTAGATTTGCAACACACCTAATAAGTAAGAAATCTTGTTTAGCACTTTGTTGAGATACCATTTGCCCATGGAACTGTTTTTAAGTATTGTTACTGTTGATATAATTTGTATAATCATGTTGTTACGGAAAGAACACCAAAATATTGAGTCGGGGCTTTGTTTCTAATCTTGACCACTAATCACCTGGGTGACCGTGGATAGTCATCTGACCATTTCAAAGCTGTCTCCTCACCTGTAAAATGGGACATGGCAGCAGGACTACCTCTCTAAAGATGCAGTTTCACTGTGAACAGTGATCTCTTCCCTTTTTTTTTATTATGTGTGTGTTGTTACTTCCAATTCTGTTCTAGGCTTCTTGTCTTCCTATCTTCTACTTTTTCCTTTCTCAATACCTGTTTTTTCTTTCATTCTGTTTTTTTTTTTTAATATATATTTTTTAAGATTTTATTTATTTATTTGAGAGAGAGAATGAGAGACAGAGAGCATGAGAGGGAGGAGGGTCAGAGGGAGAAGCAGACTCCCCGCTGAGCAGGGAGCCCGATGCGGGACTCGATCCCGGGACTCCAGGATCATGACCTGAGCCGAAGGCAGTCGCTTAACCAACTGAGCCACCCAGGCGCCCTTTCATTCTGTTTTTTTGTCACTGGAATAAATGCAGGTAAACCACAGACATGGCACATATGCTAGCTGCTGTTATTTTCATTATCTGTCCATCTTTTTCTACTGCTTTTTCTCTGTCTTCCGATTCTTTCCCCAACTCCTTTACCTGCAGTGAGTGGAGGATGATGGAAGCAGCATCATCTCCAGCTGGCTGGCAAGTGGGAGGAAGACTCTGAATCTCCTTTCCCTCGACCTTGGGGACTTTCAAGGAGCAGAGTCTGTGATCATATTGGGAGACCTGCAGTGCTAGTACAGGCTCAGGCCAGGAGATACTGTTCTGCTTCCTTCCTCTTTCTGGCTTCCACCAGTCCTTCACTCCTAAGGATAAGGTGCATGACTGTCGGGTCCTTATCTTGTACCCTTCAGGTCTTTGCTATTACTGGGTTTGCTTTTTTGAGATTGTGGCAAATGAAGAAGGGCCATAATAGGGATTGGGCAACAGTGTGATTCTGGAAGACACTGTTCCTTGCAGGCCTGAGTCGTTCTTTAGAAAACTTAATTCTAAGGAAGCAGAGCTGGTGGAAAAAGAGTGATCAGAGAAGTTAGGGATGACTCACGACAGCGATTGATTGGGTCTTATTCCCCTGACCAGTTATCGTCTAGTTAGGATCAGAATTCCAGAGAAACTACTAGAAGAATGGGGAAATGCATCCTGTACTCTTGACTCAGTGTATGTAATGACTGTTTCAGGGATCTGGTGAAAAGCCTTCTTCTTCTTTTTTTTTTTTAATGGTTAAAGAGAACATAGGAATCAAGGTCCCTGTGAAACTGCTATGGGATATAGAGAAGCAAAACATTCTATAATGAGTTTGTATAGATTTTGGAAACATTATTTTTACTTTTTCACCTAGAAGCCCAAGCTTAGGTGGTTTTTCATCATGCACTTGATAGGACTGAGGAATTGAGGCTGTAAAGCCCTGGATTGAGTGGTGCTGAAATTTCTCTTCTGGCGGCAGGTGTACACTGGGGCTATGAAGAAACAAAGACTTACCTTGCAATTCTTAGTGAGACTCAGTTCTACGAAGCCCTCCGGAACTGTCACCGCAACAGCCAGTTGTATGGAGCAGTGGCTGAGCGGTTATGGGAATATGGATTCTTAAGGACACCAGAGCAGTGTCGGACCAAATTTAAAAGCCTACAAACCAGCTATAGGAAAGTCAAGAATGGCCAAGCGCCAGAGACCTGTCCCTTCTTTGAAGAGATGGATGCTTTGGTGAGTGCCAGGGTTGTTGCCCCGCCCAGTGACAGCCAGGAAGAAGAGACAGCCTCTTGCCCCATCCAGGAGACCAGTGAGACCGAAGCTGAGAAGCAAGCTGAGGCGGCAGAAGAGACCATAGAAGAAGATTCTGAAGATGATGAAGAGGATACTGAGGTACCCCTGGGGGTTGTCATGACCCGTGCTCCAGTCTTATTCCAGAGCCCCAGTGGTAAGATCCTTTTACTTTTTGAGGTTTAAGTAGCAAAGGGGAGGCAGTGGGATTTAGGAGAAAAATCAGCAATCTGAAGACCAGGAGACTGGTCTCTACACCCAGCTCTCATGGATTCTTCTTGTGACCATCTTCTCTCTTCTCCATGTTTCCTTTCTATTAAAGCAGCTCACAGAGGGGATATAAATTATTCACCTGACTTGCCTTCTCATACTACAGCATCAGTCTGATGGGTGCAGACTTTATAAATTTGCTGTCATCTACATCTGAGCTGTTAGGCAGTTTACCTAGCAGGGAGTATGAACATTAACATCTCCCAAGTAGTATGTTGTATACCCGTAGTGGGATGAAGTTGATTTTAAAAGTTCATTCTTGTTAAACAATTTTTCCTCTACTTCCAACTTGTATACCTGTTATATGTCTGCTTTATTCACATCTATGAAAACCTGATAACCTCTTTCTTCAGCCACAGCTGGACAAAAGTCTGAGATTTCTTAGGGAATGGGCCCTTTGAATATTAGCAGTTGTGTAAGAAAAAGAAATACTTCACTATGGCTTCCCTGCTTTTGGGAAGAATAATTCTGATTTTGGAGTCATACATGTATCTGAATCTGAACTCTGTTGTCCATTAGCCAGCTGAGTGACTCAGAGCAAGTTATTTAACCCTGTAAGTTTGCTTACATATTAAGACGTACCTCATTGAGGTTGATGTAAATGAGGTACTGTGGTGAAGCATCTAGCACAGTGCTTAGGCACATAGTAAGTATTTAATAAGTAATAGTTTTCTTTTTGAAAAGTTCTTTAGATCCGCATTCTTCAAGGGTGTTCCACGGAGCATCAGTTCCATGGAGGTATTAATATGTTCCACTAAAAAATGGCTTCTAGGTTTAGGAAATGCTAAATTACCCTCCTTGGAGGCTCACAATACATACTCACATATTTAAGGTTCTGAGATTTCATTGAATCTAACAAATCTCTATTTCCTGGGGGCATCTTATAAGACTGGGCTTCTGGATAGAAACACTGTCTTTAGGGGGCCATAAACAGGCTGACGCTCAGTATTCCTTTGTTCTCAGATTTAGTCCAGGGAATTTGGGATCCAGAATTTGTCTGAAACATCTGAAAATTCTGCAAATTCAAAGTCAATTTGCAAACTGATAATTTGCCAAGTATCTGCAAATTCACATAGCCTGGGCCTGGGGAGCCTGGCATTTGGTTCTTAGAAGAAATCGGTTAGCTTGAGCATTGGAGTAGTGCTTTGGGAACATTTAATGATTATTTTTCCATGGAAGAGACAATGTTTTAGGGAGATACTTTCTAAAATTTATCTCTCAGAAGGCCTTCTGTTCTTTGAAAGACACCAAATATTTTCCTACCCTGTTTTTATTCTCAGCATATATTGGAATTTGAGAGGAAGGGAACTCATATAGCTCTTTTTGGATATAGAAGTTTCTCAGAGTTTTCCTGGGCCTACCTTAAATCTGGTAGGTTTTCCTTCTGAGAGGTTTTCTGAAGATCATGGGTATCCAGGAAGAGTTACATGAATGTACTAATCAGCCCCTATAACAGATGAGAAGCACGTGATAGGCTACTAAGTAGAGGAGTAAAAACATTGGAATTCTAATTGATAGTAGTCATTTGGGATCTAGTGCTCCCTAATTTTTATCTTTAATCATGTAATGTGATACTTCCCTTACCCCCAGCACATAATATTGAGGAAATGGATAACCTTTAAAATTCTATTCTTATATCAGGTTTTGAGGCTGGATTTGATAATGAAGAGAATCTAAAACGAGATATTTCTGAAGAAGTACAACTACATAGAACATTACTTGCAAGGTCTGAAAGGAAAGTTTCCCGGCATCTTACTCAGGGTAAATGTGGTGAGAGTGAATGTAGATCAGGACAACAGTGGGAAAAGACCCCAGGGGAGAGAAGAGGAAAACCAACACCCCCAGAGAGGAGTTTAGGTAAAGTTCTAAATCATCAGAGTCCTTACTTGGGAGAGAGACCCTGTAAATATCTCAGATACAGCAAAAGCTTTGGTCCCAACTCCCACCTCATGCATCAGATATCTCATCAAGTGGAAAATCCATATAAATGTGCTGATTGTGGGAAAAGCTTCAGTCGGAGTGCACGCCTCATTAGACACCGGAGAATCCACACTGGAGAGAAACCTTATAAGTGTCTTGACTGTGGGAAAAGTTTCCGTGACAGTTCAAACTTCATCACCCACAGAAGAATCCACACAGGAGAAAAACCGTATCAATGTGGTGAGTGTGGAAAACGCTTCAATCAGAGCTCAAGCCTTATAATTCATCAGAGAACCCACACAGGAGAAAAGCCCTATCAATGTGAAGAGTGTGGAAAAAGCTTCAACAATAGTTCTCATTTCAGTGCACATCGGAGGATACACACAGGAGAGAGACCCCATGTGTGTCCTGACTGTGGAAAGAGTTTCAGTAAGAGTTCTGACTTACGTGCACATCATAGGACCCACACAGGAGAGAAACCCTATGGGTGTCATGACTGTGGCAAGTGCTTCAGTAAAAGCTCCGCTCTTAATAAGCACCGAGAGATCCATACACGAGAAAAACTTCTGTCACAGTCAGCACCTAAGTAAGCCCCTGAGAATTTAAAGAAAAGATAAATGCATTGAAATTCTTTGAAAAAGGCATCTAATAGTGATGGTCTCCTATTCCCTGCCCAACTAGCTTAGGAAACACTCTAAGATTTATCCCACTCTGTTCCCATGTTTTTCCTGGATCTATGAATTCCTAAGGTAGTCATCTTAAGAATGAAAGGAAGATTTCAGTCCCTCTCCTTGCCTTCACTGGAAATGACAGATACGACCTTTACCTCCCAGTGCCTATGTTGTTCCCTTAATAGAGAGGACGCAGTAGTAGATCCCATGTATTTATTTATCCTATTATTCAGCTGCATTTCAACTGGAAAAACCTATCACAGCAGCATTTCAGGGAGAAGTTGTGAGACTTTTCTGAGTGGGTCTAGCTCTTTATACAATAATGGAAATGCAAAAAAGTGGCATTTCCTGTTCACATAAGCCTGTGCTCACAATGACATTTGTCATGCACACTCTTCATTTACCTTAAAGGAGAGTTTAATATCCATCTTGGTTCTGACCTATGAATCATCTTGTCAAAAGCCTAGGTGTTCTATATGGGGAACAGTGTAAATCTTATATAAATACTGAGGTGTGAACCCTGGATTTCTTAATTTTTTCTAAGCCCTAGAAGATCTGGAATAGAATAATATATTTAGAGCATCTAGTTTGGTTTTTTTTCTTCTGTTCCGTCTCATCTGAATTTCATCTGTCCCTTCTGGTCCAGTAGTGCAAAGAGCAAGCCAGCTGGATATGTTGATATGAGAGAAGGCAGTTAAAGCTGCCAATAGGGGATTGTCTGCATTCCACACGCTCCAAACACCTAGTTTAGTGTTATACAGCACCCCATGGGCGCTCAATACTAACCTGCATTGAGCAGAAACTACTGCCACGTACCCATGGATTAGGAAACAGACCACTCTGTGCCAACTCTTTACTCTAATGGCAAGGAGGACAGATTATCTTTGGTCACTGAAGTTGCCAGTACTCACACACGTGCATGTGCACATACTCATAGATCTATTTTTAAAAGTTCTTCAAACACAAGTGTAATTCTGATCTGCATAATCAAATAGTATTGAATTAATTGCCCATCTATTCATAGTAGTGTGATGAGCCCTATACAGCACAAGGTAAACAGACTCTGTCCTTGTTCTTACAATCTAAAACAGATGACACTGACATGGACAAATAATAAATGCACATGTAGAGCTGCAGCAGTTTTAGAGAAATCTAGAAATGTAGTAACATTCTGCATAAATGTTCAGGTCTAATGCATTATAGTTTTCTATAAGAAAAATCTGGGAGGTATTTTCTTCTCTTTATTCAGAAAGGCTTCATGAAACAGCAAGCGTTCAAAGGAAGGAAAGTTACCGGGAAAATTAGGGTGGGATGAACTCTCCAAAACTAATCACAAAACTGGGTGCTGAGTGGGTGAGAAATGGGAAAATTGGAGAGCAAGGTGTTTTATGCAGATGGAGCCGAGGGCAAAAGGCAGACTGTAAGGAAAGTTAGATAAAGCTTGGAGCAGCACGAAATCTGAGGAATAGTATGATCTCGGCTATGCACAAGGCGGAGAACTGCCTTCATTGGAACATGGAGTGCCAGAGGCAGATCAGGAGGTGGTGGTCCCATCCACCTATAATAAATCAGATACTGTGCTGTACTTATTGATGAAAGAGCCAGCTTGTACTGGGGAAGAAGAATGAGCAGTTTAGGAGACTAGCTCCTATGGGAGACAAAGGTCAGAAATTAATACCTTGAGAAGATGCTTCAGTGGGCAGGTCTGAGGAAGGAGGAATGTGAACAGATGGCCAAGGCATGGGATAAGTAGCTGTTTCATACTCACATTTAATCAGTCCTGTGGCTGGAATGAGATATCAAAGAGAAGTGGGGAGATAGAATATTCTGTAATTCATAGCCTGCTGTGTTAGATGAGAGGTTGATTAGGGTTCTTGTGTTGAGGGATCCTACTACAAAGAATCTCCTAACATTTATTAGGAGAGATCGTGTCTCAATTATGTGGCCTAAGCAGACAGGAAGATAGAAGAAACACTAGTCTAAAGCAGTGCCTCAGGATCTGAGATGGTTTAGTAAGTGTGTTTTTAAATGTGTGTTTTTTAATATGAGAGACTACTGTCTTTAGTATATTTATGGAAAGTTGTGTGTAAAAAGCACTGGTTGGGGTATCAGCAGATATGAATTCTGGTTCCAGATGTCTTGTGTGTAAGTCCACCTGTTTCCATCTCCCTTTCTGTAAAGCAGAATAATGTTTACATCTTAATCTGCCTCTCAGGGATACCATGTTAATAAAAATTATGTCTATAAAGTACCCAGTGTTTCTTCACGTGGTTTTTCCCCTCCCCAAATATACATGTGCAAATTATTAAGTTGTTGCTACTAGGAAAAGATAAATTTTTACCTGCTTTTTTGGTTCCCTGTGTGGCCTCACTTGAAGTATGCCTGTTTGAATCTTTATGTTCTAGACTGAGAAACAAATTAGGATGTGGTAAAAGAGAAATTAGAATGAAAATCCTTACATGATATCTATATCTGTATCCATTAGGACAGTGCATTAGGACCTGTCATAACTGGGCATGGAGAGTAAGTCTTACTTTAAAAGACCCAAGACCAGCCTCCTCTCCCCCCACCATCCTCCAGATGAAGAGAATGTACATAATGAATAGGGCAAAGGCAAACTCTCTTACTTGGGAAAGCCCATTTCTTCTCAAACTAGCTTAACAAGCCATTTTCTGCTACCCAGTCTGCCATTGCGGAGGATGGAAGAAGCAAGAAATAGTCTTCAAACATTCTAAGAGAAACCAAGGCCACTGTAGGTGGAGCAAGAGGATCTGTGCACCCTACCATTTTAATACTCATAAGACCTCTGTGGGGACAGACTGAGTGACCTGTATAGCAAAGGAAGGATGTATTAGGAGGAGCTGGACAATCATATCCCCATCAGTTGTTTCCTAATGCTGTTACTTCTTTTTCTTCATTTTCCCCACACTATCATTTCTTTTCAAGATTTGTTTTAGAGAGAGAAAGTGCACATGTGGGAACAGGGAAGAGGGGCAGAGGGAGGAGAAGGAGAGAATCTCAAGCAGACTCCCTGCTAAGTGCGGAGCCAGATGCAGCCCTCCAAGTGGGGCTCGATCCCAGGACCCTGAGCTCATAACCTGAGCCAAAACCAAGAGTCAAACACTTAACTAAATGAATCATTCAGGTGCCCCACCTTTTTTTTTTTTTTAAATAAACTCTACCCCCAGTGTGGGGCTCAAACTCACGACCCTGAGATCAAGAGTTGCACGTTCCACTGACTGAGCCAGCCAGGTGCCCCACATTCTTCCTTTTATTGCTTGGCTATGGCCAGTGCTACAGAACTTAATAACATATATTTTCTGTGTTGCTGCCATTTCTCTTTTACTATAATCAGAATATGGAGGCTGAGTCTTATCAACTCTGTAGAGAACTATTTTTATGGTGACCAGGTAGGAAAGGGAAGCTGAGATAGGAGCAGTCAATTCTTCCATCATTCATTCAAAATCTAAAATGAAAACTTTACTCCTATATACTCAACTATCCAGTGAGATGCATATCAAAGTTTAGACATAAAATGGTATCTATTCTCTGATACCATGGTGCTTAAAGTAACATGTTATATGGATATATTTTAGTTAGGAGCTTAAATTACTCCTACATCCACCATAGTGCTCTTTCAGAAACAAAACTTTGGAACAACTGGAAGTCAGATTAAAGGCAGGAAGTAGAAGCCTAAAGTACCTTAGACCTCAAGAAGTGTCTGGTTGGTATAGCTCCATTATGATCAAAAGAACAGAAGGGTAAGGTAGGAACATTTAAAAAAAACCCACCACCTTGATTCCAGGGGGATTAATCATGAGAGGGGCAAAGCCAGATCTCAGAAGCTAGTTTTGTCTGTCACTAGGGTCTTCCAAAGTAGATTAACCCTGACTACTGGGTATTCACAAAAATCCATGGTATGCAGTATAGCCTGGAGTCAAGTTTTGGGGAATACTTAAGGGAGTTTGAGTAAAACAAGCAAAACAAAATACAGAGCGCTGCTGTCACAAGTTACAAGGCTTAAAGGTTTGGTGGCAATTTGTTTTCCCTCTTCTCATCTTTAGGCTAGTTATTCCAAAACTTTTCCTGATTAGAAACTCCTTTGATTTTCCTGAAGTTTTATGATCACTAATGGAGAGGGACTGTTAAGTCAAATCTCTGGTGGAATGGGGAGTTTAGTTAGCAGCCACTTTCAAGTCCCTTCCAGTAAGCAGCACGGAGGTAAACTCTGTAAGACCTCAGAGCCTGCCAGTCAGTTTAAAACATTTACTGAGCACCGGCCCTGAATAAGGTGCTGGTGATGGAGCCCCTGGTACCTGGCTGCAGTGCTTCAGAGGGAGGGATGGACAGTTCACTAAGTGTGATAAGGCAGGAAGATCTTGGTTGCAACGCATACTCAAAAGTAGTTCACCTCAGGGCAGCTTAAAAATGTAACACTTTGGGTTTCAGATGATTCCACTTCCTCCTCAGTTCAGACCTGGTTCTGTCAGAAGCAAAGATGTAGTCGATGGATTCATAAGACAGATCCCACACCTGAGACTGGTTCAAATTAAATGTTTCAGCTGCCAATTGGTACTCTTGAGAAAGGTGTGTTGCAAAAACACCCTTATCATCAGTCTGCCAAAAAAAAAACAAAAACCAAAGTTTTAAAATGAACAAGGAAATTATTTTTTAAAAAAACAGTAACTTACATTTAGTCTATTTTCCTGTTTACCATGCTTCTTTTAAGAGTCTAAACAGGTCTATAAACGCATCCATACATAGCTATAACTAAATAGGTCTGTTTATCCTTTTTAAAACAAAAACACCAGGGCAATGGCTCTCAACCATGGCTGCATATAAAAATCACCAAGAAGCTTTTAAAACATATCTGTGTACAGGACTCACCCCAGATCAAATAAAACAGAATCTCAAGGGATAGGTACTTGGGCATCAGTATTTTTTTATGTTCCTCTGGGCACTGCCTAGGACCTTTACCCATAGGGCCAAACCTGAGTCACCCTGGCCCTCTGAGCCTCTCATGCCCTGATCCTCTCTCACTCCTCTACCTGGGCAGCACCCCGAGGCACGAAAGGCAGTCAGCTAGTAGTGAATGTCTGACCTAATCCAACAATGGAATGAAAAAGGAGCAAAATACTTCATACAAAACACCTTACACAGATCACAGATGGATGGGCGATGCTGTACCAGAATCCAAAATGATGCTGGTCATAAGATGGAACTGTCTGACTTTTGATGTTTGAGGTCAAACAGAGTTCTAGATGAAAGGAGGAAAAAGTCTCTTACTAAAAGCAGATTAGTAGACTCATTCATCAGTGTTCACCAAGTAGATACATGAGGAATTTTTGTGCTGCAATTTTGGCAGCAACTGTACCAGGCAGAGAATTAATATCCCCTTCACAGCTATGTGCTTCCCCCTTTCTTTTATCCAAAATGGAGAGGAAAGGGGAATGTTATAAGCCAGTCACCATGGTGAAAGCAGGGAAGAATCATGAAGGAATTTTTGAAGGGTTGCTGCACTTCTTCCTGGTCTTATAGTGGAGGCTAAAACAAAATAGCAGCACTGCTTGAGGGCTACAGTATTATAAAAAAGCCAAGAGAAGAAATGGACTTAAAGAAAACCCCTAAACTCCTTTACTCAGACAACCATCTATTCCCTGTCTGCTGCAAGTAAGTCCATCTTAAGAATGACTTCTATTATTAACAAATTCCTGCCTTGACACACTATACTGAGCTCCCCAGCCAGAGCAGAAATACTTCACTGACTTGGTGGATGGTGTCAGCTCAGTATGATAAGGCAGCCTCAACACAGGGCCACTCAGTCCAAGGGATGGCAGCCTGCCCCCTCACACTGCTGGGCACACAGCTGAGCCACCACACTAAGATAACTATGCAGGTGGTTTCCATTTTCTCAACTTCTGGGGATGTTTAAAAATGTCCTTAGTAAAAAGAAAAAAAAAATCTCATGAATTGCTGAAAACTCTGTAAGTAATTAAAAAAACACACCCACACACATGTTAAAAATTGATAAAATTGTAAATTTAGCAAATTGATCATTCAGTAAAATGGTTTTCAGCCAACTGCTTTTTTCCCTCCAGAGAAGGCCTTCCCCGACCATCCAATTGAAAGCGGTTATCTCATCACTAATATATCAAACTGTTTAATTTTCTTCAAAGAACTTAACACTGACATTTTCTTGTGTAACCGTTTACTGTCTCTTACCTATGCTAGAATATAAGTTCCTTGAGAAAGAAACCTTTGCCTGTTTTGTTTACTGCTCTCTTCCCAGCAATTTGAACAGTGACCGAAAGAGAACAGGCACTTCATAAATATTTGTTGTTAAATAAAAGCAGCTCCAGGGATACACATGTAGACAAACAAGTGTGTAACAGTAACACACGTAAAAATATGTCTTGGAATCTTCCATAATTCTTAATTTTTAAATAAATGTCACACATTTTCATAACACATATTAATTTGGTTAAAGTCATTTTGAAATACTAGATGACTCTTATTCCTTCAATATAATAATTATTGAGTTCCAAGAACTGGGGAATGTGGCAGTGAACAAGACAGACAAGGGCTCTGCTTTCATGGAGCTTATATTCTAATGGGAGCTAAAACTTTGTTACTTAAATAAGGCTCAAGAGGCACATGTACCAAGCAACTTTTAATTTCTAAATGACACATATTTAGAACAGTACTTCTCCACATATGGGTTGCAACCTGGTGGCTGGGGACAAATGTATAGAGTCTTGTCTGGAGGACGTGAAGCCCTAAACCTTACCCAGTGGTATCTGGTGTTGCCTCACAAAGTCTACCAGATCCAGGGATCCTCCCTCAGAGGAGTTGAGAAATGTCCCATGCCCAATTCTGTCAGGAAGCAGATCCAGAAGTACTTGTGTTTCTTTTTTTTGGTTTGCAATCTCAAAAAAAAAAGGGTGGGGGGAGAGGGCATCAATAACCTCTTTCAGTGGTTCTTAAAGGTACCTTTTTCTGTAGCCAGCTACTTTGTCCCTCAGAGAAGATAATGCAGACATTCTGGAAAGCTGAACCACCTATACCTTCCCAGCTCTCTTCTTTGCCTTTATTTTCCCATTCATTTCCCAATATTCTTCTAGATTCGTTTCAATGATAATACTAATTATAGTTAACAAGAGTAATAATAATAAACACTTTTAGACCTGCTTTGTGCCTTTTCACATAAATTCTCCTTTAAACCTCACAAGAATCTTACAAAGTACTAAGATGAAGAAATTAAAGTTCAGAAAAAGTAACAGGATCAACTCGGGAGCAGAACTGAAACGAGAAACGGACCTTTCATTTTTTATTTTTTTCCTTCTACATTACACTTCTCTACACTTGGAATTTCTTCAGATATACCTAACTTTTGTAGTTAAAATACAAAGTATTTTTTTTTAAAGTTGTCTAAGGTCATGGAGCTCTATCTGACTTCAGGGCCCAGATTCTCTGTGCAGTGTGCTCCTGTTTTATTATTTTTTAAAGGATTTTATTTATTTATTTGAGAGAGAGGGAGAGAGAGAATGAGTGCAAGTGGGAGGGAGGGACAGAGGGAGAAGGCGAGAAAGTCAAGCAGACTCCATGCAGAACCCACGCGGGGCTCGATCTCACAACCCTGAGATCATGACCTGAGTGGAAATCAAGAGTTGGACATTTAACTGACTGAGCCACCCAGGTGCCCCATTCATGTTTTATTCTGACACAGCCAGCTACATACATACCACAACTACCATGAAAAGGTCTAGCTGTACTCTTTATCTACTAGATAGCCTACAAGACAAATGACCATAACATGCTGAAATGAGATGTTTTATGTCCAATGCATCAAACAAAAAAAGCAACAGAATAAAGAAAATTAAAAAAAAATTTTAAAGAAACAAATAGACAAAAGAAAAGAAAAAAAGAAAAAGAAAAGCAACAGAGACTAAGGTAAAGAGACGGTTCTAATGCTGTGCACAAAGACCACAGATAACTGGTCACAGTAACACATGCTGGCTGTTCCATTTAATTGACCAATAGCTTTAATCAGACATCAGTTAGGTTAGCAAGAGGATGTCCTACGAGTTAGTTAAAGATCTCTTCGATCAGAGTGTGGAAACACAGATCCTAGATTTTAAGTTCTGCCACCAGATTACTGACTCTTTGCTTATAGACATGAAAAACATCAGCACTGACAAGAAGCTCCAATTTTTTCCTTAATCTTTAAATCATGATGCTATTCAACCTTTATACATTACTGCATCTAATATTCATAAATAACCATGTGAGGTAAGTAGCCTAAGTATTATTTCCTGCACTTGAGACAATAAACTCCAGACTTCTCGAGCTGTGTACATTAATCACATGCAGCTTTTTGTATGTCAAAAAAAAGAAAACAAATAGAAGTACTGACATAGAAAGTAAATCCATCTGTAAAATGGGGGAAAGTGTAGTTGACTCCCTTGTTTGCCTCACAGGGATGTGCTTAAGAAAGTGACTATTCTCCAGCCATTATCTGTACATTATCTGTCATTGTGCTCATGTTGCCAAAGAGCTGGGGCCCAACGAGGGGTACCCGATCTTCTGATGAGCCTTATAAAATAATGATGAGCTACTTCCTTTCTCGCCAGTGCATGTGATATATTCAGGTCCCTTACCCTATGAGGACAAGTGAGATGAACTGGTGCTTTTCTCAGTGTCAGCTTCCAATGACAAGACTGATGATGAAAACTTAGGCATTTTCTCTAGTAAGATGTCAATAGCTGTTTTAACAACACATCAGTAGTGTGAGTCAACAGCCACCCTCAGGAATGACAAAAACATAAAACCAGTAACGGGACTAAAGCAAATCATACCTTTATCATTATAATTTACATTTAAAAACATTTCTACATTCCTCCTCTTCTACTTTTTTTTACCTCCAGGTTTACTTTTAGCCATTTATAAATGATTATTATTTTCACTGTAATTTATCTTCTCCACCCTAATTTTACATTATTATTTACCTCTGAAAGATGCAATGCCAACTTCAGGCCTGCTTTTTTAGCTTCTAAAAGAGGTTCCAGGAAGTCTTTTGCCTGTCCTACCTTGATAAAAGTTAAAACAAAGATGAATTAGATTTCTAGGCAAACTGAAGAATTAGGTACTTTGTGTCAATAAACAAAGGAATAAAATAATGGCAAGGAAAAAAATGGCAGATTGACTCATTTGAAAATTTCATTTATAAAGCACCTACAATGTGCTAGACACTTGAGGGAATATAAAGCTGGCAAAGACCCAATCCCTGCCCTCAAGAATGTTAAGTCACATATGAGTGAACCTGATGTCAATCAGCCATGCTAGATATAGAGGTCACCAAATTTTAGTTCTGTAAAGAAATCTAGGTATCTAGTGCTAAGGAGAAGTCACCTGATTCAGGAACCTGTATGATTACAGTAAAGAAAGCTTCTACCAAATGGATGAATGAAATAAGAACACAATAGTCCAGGTTTAAACAAAGCCTTAAGAACCAGTTTCCTGGGACTCTCCAAATCCAGTGGTTTTCAACCAGGGCCAATTCTGCACTACCATGCCCCCCCCCACCTCCTCCCACGCTGGGGACACTTGCCAGTATCTGGAAACATTTTTGGTTGTCACAACTAGGAGGGTGCTACTGGTATCCAGTGGGTAGAGATGACAGGGATGCTACTAAACATGCTGCAATACACAGGGCATCCTCCCAGGACAAAGAATTATTTGGCCCAAATGTCAACAGTGACACAAGTGAGACAGTGTGCTTGAATCTGACATTCAAGAAGCTCTAGGCCAGTCTTTCTCATTGGGGGTTCTATGAGATAATTAAGGCCTACCCATACTTAAGTATTAATTAATTATTAGACATGCATTGTATGTAATGAATTAATTTCTCTCCTCTCATTCAAATCTTATTCTTTTTTCTTTTTTAGAGGGCTTAATTCTTTCACAGAACCCTGGTTGAGAATAGCTGCTATAGACATTCTGGTCATCCAGGGCAGAATAGGTCTTTTTTTTTTTTTAAAGATTTTATTTGAGAGAACAAGCAGCGGGGAGAGGGAGAAGCAGACTCCCCGCTGAGCAGGGAGCCCCATGTTGGGCTGGGATCATGACCTGAGCTGAAGGCAGATGCTTAACTGACTGAGCCACCCAGGTGCCACTTCCTTCCCTTTTTTTTTTTTTTTTTTAAAGATTTTATTTAAGAATAGGTTTTCATCCACACAGAGTGTCTGGTAGACCTCTGGAGAATGCAGGATGCCCCAAGCTAATCCTTACCCCACAAATTGATTCTACTTTTCTTTTCTTTTTTTTTTTTAAGATTTTATTTATTTATTTGCGAGAGAGACAATGAGAGAAAGAGAGCATGAGAGGGAGGAGGGTCAGAGAGAGAAGCAGACTCCCTGCCGAGCAGGGAGCCCGATGCGGGACTCGATCCAGGGACTCCAGGATCATGACCTGAGCCGAAGGCAGTCGCTTAACCAACTGAGCCACCCAGATGCCCCAATTCTACTTTTCAGAAATAAAATGTATTTAGGAAAAACAGCTTACAGTAGGGTCTCCACTGAGGTCAAGGCCAATAACTGTATTGTCAGTAGAGAGGAAGAACTCTTCAGCAAGTTTAACGGTCTCCTTGGCTACTGAAGGGCCACCTCTTCTGTCGATTGCTATCAAATACCTTTAATATAAAAAAAACACAGTTGAAAACAAATACAGTGCAGATGAAAAAGACAACTCTGAGTATGGTCAGAGAAGTATAGCAGGCTACATGTAAAATTTACTTAGTAGAAGTACAGCCTGACTGACAGGACAGCTTACTTTGCCAGAGGGCATGAGACCATAAATTCCTAAACAGCACCAAACATCTAGTGTTCAAATTCTTAAACGTTTCATGTTTTTTTTATTCTTGCACTTGTTTTTTAGTTTGTTTGATTCAGAATTCAACTAAAGTCCACGCACTGTGTTGGTCAATGCATCCCAAGTCTCTTTTAATCCAGAGGCGCTCCCTCCATGCTCCACCTTCCCCCTTCTCCATAAACCCCCACCACTTTTCTTGAATTTATTTCTTGAACTTAAAGAAACCACGTCCTTTGTTCTATAAAATTTCCTATAATGGAGTGCATTCCTGTGTCCTTAACCTGTTTCTCCTGTCTCTTATATCTCCAATAAATTGAAAATTGGAACTAGTCTGGAGGCTTGATCAAATTCAATTTTTTAGCAAGAGTATTTCATAAGTGATGGTGTGTTCTTTCATCAGGAGGCTTAGATCCATTATTTCATTAAGTGTTAAAAAACTGGTAATATTCTAATTCTAACACATATCCAATAGCTGATACAAATTCATTCTTCATGTTAGCTGGAATTCTACAAGGCATCTAATACCCAGAGAACCCCTGTTAATATTGCATAATTTTCCTCCAGCATTTTTTAATTTATCCTATTTTTTTACATTCCTCCAGCACTTATTTATTTACAAAATTTGGATCAACTATATATAAATGCACTCTTTTTTTTAACTTAATGATTTCTCCTGTCATTAAATAATGTTAGAAAACAATATAAATCATATGAACATAACATAATGTTAACTGTCCTCTGCTAAATGTTTTAGGATGTTTTCCACTTTTTGTTATAAATAACACTATAGGTACGCCTGGGTGGCTCAGTCAGTTAAGCATATGCCTTGGGTCGGGTCATGATCCGGGGTCCTGGGATTGGCCCAGAGTTGAGCTCCCTGCTCAGCAGGGAGTCTGCTTCTCCCTCTGTCCTTCCTCTTTACTGATGCTCTCTCTCTCAATTCTCACTCTTTCTCAAATAAATAAAATCTTTAAAATAAACATAAATAAATAACACTACAATAAAGAATCTTACACAAAAATCAATTTATTTCCTTAGGATACATTTCTAGAAGTGGAGTACTGCGTCAGAAGGAAACATTTTTGTACATCTTAATACATACTGCTTTTTAAAGAGGTTTTATTTATTACATATGCTTACTAGCAGTGTGTAAGTTCACAAACTGGTTATTACCTTGTTTTGAGGGGAGCTATTGAAATGGCATTGTAATATTTTAAATTTATCTGATTGGGGTGCCTGGGTGGCTCAGTCGGTTGAGCGTCCAACTCTTGATTTCAGCTCAGGTCATGATCTCAAGGTTGTGAGACTGAGCCCCATGTCAGGCTCCACGCTCAGTGGGGAGTCTGCTTGAGATTCTCTCTCTCCCTCTGATCCTCCCCCACCCTCTGCACACTTTCTCTCTCTCAAATAAATTTTTTAAAAAAATTATCTGATTAGTGAGATTAAATAGTTCCCTATACACTTATTGGTCATTTGTAGGTCTTCATTTCTTAATTCTCTTCTTGTCTTTTGCCTGCTCCTTTTTGGGAGGGGTGTGTGTATTAGTCTAGCTAAGCTTAATTTGGAGAGATTTTATAGCCAGAAACTATACAGGTAGCTTTCTTCCTTCAAGGACTTATTGAGCCCTGATTATGTGTCGCCTCTGTTCTAAGTACTGGAAGGGTAGTGGCAAAAGACAAGGTTCCTGGCCTCATGAATTTACACTCTAGTGGGTATGTATGTACAAATAAAACAAGATAATTTTTTTTTAAGATTTTATTTATTTGATAGAGAGAGACACAGTGAGAGAGGGAACACAAGCAGGGGGAATGGGAGAGGGAGCAGGCTTCCTGCCGAGCAGGGAGCCTGATGTGGGACTCTATCCCAGGACCCCGGGACCATGACCCGAGCCAAAGGCAGATGCTAAACGACTGAGCTACCCAGGCGCCCAAACAAGATAATTTCTGATCTTGTTAAGAAGAGTGCAATAAAGGAAATAAAAAGGATTACTAGAGGATTTGGGGGGGCACTTTAGATAAGGTGGTGAAGGAAGGCCCTCTGAGGAAGTGACAGCCAAAATGAGAACTCAATAATGAAAAGCCAACCATGCAAGGATATGGTGGGAAGCGTGTTCTAGGCAAAAGCAACAGGAAGTACATAGATACTGAGGTGGGACAGTCTTGGCCTATTTGAGGAACAGAGAGCAAACCAGTGTGTAACAATGATAAGTGGCCCACATAAGGCTGTTGAAGAGAGGCAACCAGATCACATGGGACCCTGCAGGCCACAATAAGAAGTCTGGATTTTGGCTGAAGAGCAATGGGAAGCCATACTTCTCTAGAGCAACAGTACTCAGAATTTTATTGCCACATGAACAAATTCAGAACTGCATTCTCAACTTTTAAGCAATAGATTTCTTGACTCCATTTTTCTAAAATAAAAATCAGTTATTGTTTGATTTATAAAAATCTATTACACTCATGATCAAAATAATAACATATTCACATTCTAGTTTTTTTTTTTAAATGGTGACCACTAAGGTACAATGCTTCTTACCTAACATCAATGTCTATGTTTTCTTGTTTGGACTGTTTTATGCCCTCAAGTACAGATTCCACATAAGCCTTTTTAGTCATTCCTGGAAAGGACATAAAGAAAATATTTGTCAAGACATCATCAACTATTTCATCCTTTAACATTAGCATCCCTCTATGAACAATTACATTTTTACTTTATGCTGTGACAAGGGCATGATTAAAGAGGAGTTAAAACATAGCCCTATGGGTACATTTTCATAAATGCTAACTGTACTTTAATAAATTTTTAAAAATGAAGTACGAGAAAGCAGAAATGGAAAAAAAGACATACAAAATATAAGCCCATTTAAAAAGTATTCTTAGATCCAACAGACATAAAACTACTCTCACAGGGCGCCTGGCTGGCTCAGCTGGTAGAGCATGCAACTCTTGATCTCAGGGTCATGATTTCAAGCCCTGTGTTCAGTGGGGAGCCTAGTTAAAAACAAAACAAAACAAAAAAAACAACTATTCTCACAAATTGCTATAAAAATCTAAAATGCCTGTTCTAACAAAACAAGAACAGCCTTTTCTAAGGCCTATCCTTAAAAAAAAAAAAAAACAGAAACAAAAACAAACCATTTTTCTCTATTAGCAGAATGTTTTCCTGTTGGTCCAGAAAAAAAAAATCCCCTCTTGGGTTCCTGCCTCTTCAATCCTGGCCAGGCTCAGTGTTTCCTGTCCAGGGTACTAGAGCAGTTCTTCCAATTTTGGGTGTACAAGTCGTCTTCTGGGGGCTCTGAGAGCACTCTCCAGAACAACCCCCTCTAAAATACTGCTTTCATAAAATGAAAGCAGTACCCAATCATAAAATGCTTTCTTTTGGCAGAAAATCTCAAGTAACACAGAAAATTATAAAGGAAAAAATGAGTAACCTATAATCCCACCACTCAGAGATAACCACTCTTTGTTTTTCTAAGTATAAATGTTTTTTGAATAGATGAGAGGCTACTATGTATATATGTATCCTGTTCAGTTGTTTAATACAGTCCTGTATTCTGAGTGTTATCCCCAAGTCTTTATAGTATCTTCGCAAATATTTTTAATGGTTGCCTCACATTCCATTAACCCTTATTTAACCATTCCCCTCTTGTTGCATATCAGGTTAGCATCCTTCTTGGAATCTCCATTCAAAGAGCGAACTAGTTCTAGTAAGTGGCAGGTTTCTTCTCTCCTTCCCTTTCACTATCCTCACCAGCATAATCTGGAACTGATCCTACAATTTAAAAATGCGAGATAAGAATCTTCTGCTTGTCCAACACTTACTTTATGTAGTTTTAAAAAATTTATCCCCTGAATAACTGGACTGCACATGTCAGGGTGCAAGATGAACTGGCAGAGCCTTTTCAGGTCACAGACAAGGGACTAAGGGACCCAAGGACACTGCATAACATCTTTCCACACTGCCCTTATGAAAAGAAGGTTCCAGGAAATTTCTCCAGACCACATCCAGATCCACTCATCTCCATCCAGAGAGGTTTTACCACCTCACCCCTTGCTCCTAGCTTAAGACACTATCAGTCTCTGAGAAGGGACTGAAAAACCTTCATTTCTGTGATTGTCATAAAACATGATTCAGCATCTACTCAGTGGCACTGTCTCACAAGTGCCCTCAATGCAAGGAGCAAGAAGTAGCCTCTGTTTAAGACAATGTAACTATAAGGAGCAAACATTCTTTCCTCAGAGTGAGAAAAAAACAAGAACAAGCAAAATTTTTGTAGGCCTTTTAATTTCCCTTAAACAGATAATCCTTGACCTGATTTTTTAACTTAACAACTCACTCATTAATAATGTACATTATTGGGGTGCCTGGGTGGCTCAGTCATTAAGCGTCTGCCTTCGGCTCAGGTCATGATCCCAGGGTCCTGGGATTGAGCCCCGCATTGGGCTCCCTGCTCTGCGGGAGGCCTGCTTCTCCCTCTCCCACTCCCCCTGCTTGTGTTCCCTCTCTCGCTGTGTCTCTCTCTGTCAAATGAATAAATAAAATCTTAAAAAAAAATAATGTACATCATTAATGTACATCAGAAGATTTGGACTGTTGACTCTACAACAGTGTTAAAGCAAGTGCTTCATATTCTCAACTTATAAACACATGAATCATCAAAGCACAGAGGAAAAAAGTATATTTGCTGAGAAGTAATTAAACTCTACCTGTAGCATTTTCTCTTCTAGGTGTGCTCCTTAGTTCCAGGTACTTGACACCATCATCTGCAAATTCTTTAATGACATCTTTTGTGACCTGATAGTTAAGGCAATGGACACAATATTGATAATGTTAGTGTAAGGGTCCCAATGAAAATGCCCAATGCTACAGCTTTATTTCACAAATTAAATTTGATTTGCAAAAAATGTTCCAAGTCTCTCATGTGGTTAAGATGACCTGCTTTGTCATACCCCTGCTGGAGACTGTGATGAGACTGTAACACTTCCAAGAGTTCCCATTACAACCCTCATTCTCACATTAAATCCAAATCTGCACATCACACACACTTTTTGTTTCTCTTCTCTCCCTTTAGCCATTTCTCCACTTCTTACTGTTCATAACAGTAGCTGATAAAACAGAAAATGAGGCAGAACTAAAACTACTTATGAGTGTGTAGTACTAGGAAGGTACATATGGAAATAAGTGGCTAAAACAATTAGGCATTACTGATGTACCGTTCAAAGTCATGGCTTACGGTTCTTATTCAAGTTATTTATGAATAAGTTGTATTTTGCAAAAGTTTCTTCAGGCAGGGTGAAATTTTCTCCAGGAGTACTAAGAAAAATCTCTCTTTGACAAAGAAAATGGGTGATAAATACGAGTAAAATAGTATCCAATTTAGCACAGATTTCAACAACCCAAAAATGACTAAATGACCAGGGTAAATGATATCAAAAGGATGAAGGCATTATTTTCCTTCTCTGCGATCAATCCTAAAAAAATACTAAATCTAGAAGAAAAAAGGACCAGGTTGGAAATGCTGTGACAACCAGCCCTAGCTAGTCTTTGTAGTTGGTATCCTAATCTTAACCAGTTTTGACTATATGCACATGAACAGGCTAGTGCAGTGTCCTGGCAAAGGAACAAGGGCTGGCGGATTGTGTAGACAGTGCCTAACAAGGCGGCACTACTTTAGTGGACTCACTGTAATCCAAGGTCTGGGCTTCATCTGGTTGTGTGCGTGTGTGTGTGCGTGTGCCTGCCTATGCCATGCTCGCTTAACTAAAGCCACAAAGGAATTTATTAGAATCTTAGAATATAAGTATACTAAGCTCAGATTCACCAGGAGATCTGCAGAATCAGCCTCAGAGACTACACAGCTCAGGACAACACAAAAGCGTTCAAAATCATGTGACACTCTTGGACCCAGCAAGACACCACTGCTTCCTACGCCACTGAGCATGACCCTGCAGCTTCTGTACCATCACCATAGGCACTGGACCCCATGGCACTGGTGCCCCCCAAACTCCCATTCTGCTGCCCATGCTACCACCAGAGTGTGGGCCTCATCTGTGCAGGCTGAGGAACTGCATCTTGTCATCGGCTCCAGAGCAGACACATAGAAGCCAACTCCCTCCACCCCAGCTCACATGTGGCCAATGCAGAAGCCTATCTGTTATGCAGCATTGACAGGGAGGGTGAAGTTCGGGCATGAACTGGCAGTCCTCCGTGACTGAGGAGACCAGAGCTCCTATCCAAGGCACCCTCTTTCTTGGTTTCTTGAGCTGCCAGTGAAACCAAATAGAACAACAGAAGGCTGCTGGCAAGTATGGAATGAGAGCAATGGGACGATTTATCTAGGCCATGGTGAGGCCTGTGGAATCATCCCTACCCATGTCCAATAATACTTCCTTGGGGTCCACATCTGTGTCTGCCAGACTCAGCCCTTTCTGCTCCATGCAGCAACTGGTACTGAGGCAAACTCTTACTTGAGTTCCTTCTTCAGATAGAGTACATCACAATTAGTTAAGTTTCTGCTTACTCAAAGGATGGTAAGACTGCATCTCCTGAATGAGAAAGAACATGGGCTCTGGAACCAGACAAAGATAGTCAATTCTGCCACTTACTCTCTCTGTGAGTGACCTTGAACAAGTTACATGTAATCAATTTAAGGCTCAGGGGTTTTTTTGATCTGCAAAAAGGGAACAATAAAGATACCCACCTCAGAGAGTAGTCTTGAATGTAGTGTCTGGGACATGTAATAGTTAGTATTACTTCAAGCATATTCCAATCCTTTCTCTTTGAGATTACATCCAGATCATCTTGACCAGACTGTTAAATGATCCATAAACTCTTGGTCCCACATTTATGAACAAAGAATTTCTTGGCTTACTCCCACACAGGGTTCATTTATTATATGTAAATGTTACTAACTTTACTCTCAGTGTCATCCTTCTGAACCACCTAAAGTTGCTCATTCTAGTACCACTAAGTCAAATCACAAAATCTTAATTCCTTACCTCATTTTATATTTTTTAAAGATTTATTTATATGAGAGAGCACATGCAAGCAAGAGTTGGGGGAGGGGCAGAGGAAGTGACTCCCCAAGCGGACTCCCCCACTGAGCCTAAGGCAGGGCTCCATCTCATGACCCTGAAATATTGACCTGAGCCAAGCACCCAAGCAGGGGCCCTTCCTTACCTCATTTTATTTTATTTTATTTTTAAAATTTTATTTATTTGAGAGAGAGCAAGAGAGAGAGAGAAAGCACAAGCAGGCGGAGGGGCAGAAGGAGAGGGAGAAGCAGGGAGCCTGATGCAGAACTTGATCACAGGACCCTGGGATCATGACCTGAGCCAACGGCAGATGCTTAACTGACTGAGCCACCCAGGTGCCCCCTTACTTCATTTTAATAAAGCTTTTTACCAACTTTGAAAGGAATAAAATAATGAGCATGGCATTATTGTAGCCCTAGATAAGCTGTCAGAATCCAAGATTTCATCAGTTTTGCTCGGTGACAATCAACAACAGAAAGTGAGACATTCCTAGCAGCATTCAATGGTATCTGTTGAGTAGCTAATTAGACAAGCCTCCTTTAGGTTCCTATAAGTCCCTGTACGTATCTCTAACACACAGCTTACCTCATTATGTTGGATTTTTCCTATTTTTTTTCTGATGTAGTGTTCCATGATTCATTGTTTGTGTATAACACCCAGTGCTCCATTCAATACGTGCCCTCTTTAATACCCATCACCAGGCTGATCCATCCCCCCACCCCCTCCCCTCTAAAAGGGGGTGTTTCTCAGAGTCCATAGTCTCTCATGGTTCTTCTCCCCCTCCGATTTCCCCCCTTCATTTTTCCCTTTCTACTATCTTTTTTTTTTTTTAACATATAATGTATTATTTGTTTCAGAGGTACAGGTCTGTGATTCAACAGTCTTACACAATTCACAGCACTCACCATAACACATACCCTCCCTAATGTCTATCATCCAGCCACCCCATCCCTCCTATCCCCCACCACTCCAGCAACCCTCAGTTTGTTTCCTGAGATTAAGAATTCCTCATATCAGTGAGATCATATGATACATGTCTTTCTCTGATTGACTTATTTTGCTTAGCATAATACCCTCCAGTTCCATCCAAGTCATTGCAAATGGCAAGATTTCAGGGGTTTTTTTGATGGCTGCATAATATTCCATTGTGTATATATACCACATCTTCTTTATCCATTCATCTGTTGATGGACATCTTGTCTCTTTCCATAGTTTGGCTATTGTGGACATTGCAGTGCATGTACCCCTTCGGATCACTACATTTGTATCTTTGGGGTAAATACCCAGTAGTGCAATTGCTGGGTCGTACGATAGCTCTATTTTCAACTTTTTGAGGAACCTCCATATGTTGGATTTATCTGCTTATGGGTCTGTCTCTCTAACCTTACTATAAATTCCTCAGGGGGCAGAGACCATGTCCATCTATCTTATTTCCCAGTCTTTAGCAGAGTGCTAGAACATTGTGGGCACTTGGGCAACTTTTGTTGAACTAGATTTTTAAAGTTAACTCTCTTACCAAAAGGTGATTAATTTTCATGAGGATCAGTTTCAGCCAAGAAGGAAAATTCTTTCTTGACCAGTCAGAAGTTATTTTTCCAGAAACACAGGTTATACCTCTTACTCTGCATTTTTTTCTAATCGTTAAGAACATTGATAAGGATTCTGTTTTTCTCCATTTACAAAGAGTACATTTTAAAATGCCACCCTAGTCAATGATACAGAAGCCAGTCTTCCATATCAGAGTCTAGTATCACAGAGCTACAGATAAGAGAACACAGTGATGTCCTCTAGTCCTTCATTCCCAGAGGGAAGGACTAGGGATTAATCATTCAATCTCTAAGTACTTCTTGAACTTCATTCTCTATACTGTCCACCCAGGCAGTTAAAAGTATCTCAAGCAATACAGATAAAGCCTTATCAAAGAAATGCTCATCTATGGTGAAATATTTCATATAATATGTTATATATGGAAAACAGGACAAGATTTTATCCTCTATGTAACAGAATATGTTGATCTTGCTTCTCTTCTCAGATCTTTTACAATGAATGTAGTCTTTTTTTTTTTTTAATTTTATTTATTCATTTGAGACACAGAGATACAGAAAGAAAGAGAGAGCATGAGCAGAGGCAGACAGAGAGGGAGAAGCAGGCTCCCCGATGAGCCAGGAGCCCGATGTGGGGCTCGATCCCAGGACCCTGGGATCATGACCTGAGCTGAAGGCAGACACTTAAACATCTGAGCCACCCAGGCGCCCCGAATGTAGTCTTTGATATTAGCCCTTGGCAAATGTCTTACATTGGTTTTGAAAAGAGTTGCCATAAAAAAGCAGAAAATATTTTTCATTTGACTCTTGACGAAAGCAAAAATTCATGTTCAATACCAGAAGGGCATAAATTACTTAATAATTTTTAAACCACTCTAAAAATTTTTCATTTCTCACCATTAGAATATCCTCAGGGCTAGTAGTAAGTTGATGAATAATTTGAAACATCTGGAAACATCTGCAACAGGAAAAGTTTTAACATACTCTAGTCATCAAAAACTTGTCACTCGAGACAAACCCACTAAATCAAATGAATATATTTTAGGCTAATACTAATTATATATTACAAAGAACTACAGAATACGTTTTTCAAAAATTACACTGATCTGGAAGGATAAATGACTGAAAACAGAATGTTACTCTTAAGTGGGAAATACTAGTTTCCCTTTACCATACCCCCTACCCCCTGTTAATAGCAGCAAACAGGGAGAAAAATCAATAAGCCTACATTTTCACGTCTAAAGGATATTCTAATACAGTGTAACTTTACAAACAACGTAAGTCACTAAAAATACTGTCAGTGGTCTAAACAGCTGGAAAAAAATGCTATATGTCAAGTTATACTCTCTATACCAGATGGCTACCCAATTCCTTTAACTACTAAAATCTGGATTCTTATAGACTATTTACAATCTCGAAACAGTAATAGAGATAAAAAGAAGTATGTCCATAACCTCCCCAAACTCACTCTTCTAAAGTTCTTTTCTTTCCCTTGTCAATCATAGTCATCTGATGGTGGATTTTAAGACCTGGCTTCTTGGCTATCAATTTCTTCATGGTATTAGAACTAATGGATCCATTCAGGTGGGCATGAAGTTCCTAAAACAAGAGAATACCATCAGTAAAAACTTCTCAAGTATCCACCAGATTCACAGCATCCTACCAGGTACCGCACATTTGTAATCTGCACTAGGCAAACTGCCTACTAGATGTAGCTATATAACTTTTAAAGTTTATAAAATTTACAAATTCTACCTATAAAATTTACTTTTCTTTGTGGAAAAAACAAACACAGGCATCGTTATAATAAGCAACCACTCCAGAATTCTGTGGTTGAATTCTCACCACTTTAGGTAATTCTGAGTAAAAGGCTGTCTTCCGTGGCTGTTGGTGTTCCTCTGCTTCCATCACGATTTCGCAGAATAAAAAGGTCTTTCTCCAAATACTCTTATTCTTGTTATGAACAGTATAATGTGCTTCAGTCAGTAAATTCTGTGGTCTTGAATTTCCTTCAGATTGCTTTATGTCCATACATTTTGATAAGATAACCTGTATATGTAGCTCTGGGCTCAGCTTCCCCTATTTAAACAAATGTGAACATTTTCAGTGGTTGACATAAAAACAAAGAAACAGAATTCTGCCACTTTATCCCTCAAAAGACAAAAGCCCCTTCAATGCTATTTAAGCAAATTAGCAATCTAACCTAGAAATAAGAAAAGGCCTCAAACTGGTAAGAAGTGAATGAAAATCTGAAATTTAGTAAGGTGTATTCCTTACCTGTTAGACCTTTCCATAAAACTTTTTTTTTTTTTTAGATTTTATTTAGTTGAGAGAGAGCGCGCACACACACAGGGGGTAGGGGAGGGGCAGAGGGAGAGGGAGAAGCAGACTTCCTGCTGAGCATGAGCCCCATGCAGGGCTTAATGCAGGGTTCGATCCCAGGACCCTGGAATCATGACCCAAGCTGAAGGCAGATGCTTAACCAACTGAGCCACTTAGGCGCCCCTATAAAACTACCTCTGAAAGAAGAAATTTATAAAGCCTATTGTGGGTAAAAGTTGACATTTTTGAGCTGTTTAAAAAATGTAAAGGAAGGGCAGAGGTAGTGGAGTCAGATGGACCCACATCAATCGTTATACCAGTTCTGTCATTTAGTAGCTGTATGGCCTAGTTACTAAACTAATGGTTTCAGTTTCCTTATTTGTAAAAATGGGATACAAATGCACAGTAGCTCTGATGATTAATAAAGTAATTTAAATTCCCCTCTGCTATGCTCCCATATAAGTTAGTGACTACCTTTAAATTAGCACTTTGTCACACTGTTTCTCAATCACGGACTGGTTTTTTTTTTGTTGTTGTTGTTGTTTTTTAAGTACGTTCCATGCTCAGCATGGAGCTCAACATGGGGCTTAAATCAAGACCCTGAGATCAAGACCTGAGTTGAGATCAAGAGCCTGATGCTCAACCAACTGAGCCACCTAGGTGCCCCATCTCAATCACTGATTTAGTTGTCTTTCTTCCTCATCAGCCATAAACTTCAGAAGAACAAGGACTATGGCTAATTCTACCTCCCTAACACCTAGGACAGTGCCTAGCACATTGTAGGTGATAAATAAATCCTAATTTCCCTTCACCTCTGAAGGTGGCTTATAAATAAGATAAAATTCCAAATGAAATTTAGTGATTCTTCAGAATAGCCACCCTGAACCTCTGGGTTCTCACATATTAATGATGATGATGTTGATAAGAAGAGCAATTTTTTTTTAAGATTTTATTTATTTATTTGAGAGAGAGAATGAGAGCATAAGACGGGGGAGGGTCAGAGAGAGAAGCAGACTCCCTGCTGAGCAGGGAGCCCAATGCAGGACTCGATCCCGGGACTCCAGGATCATGACCTGAGCCGAAGGAAGTCGCTTAACCAACTGAGCCACCCAGGCACCCAAGAACAGCAGTTTTCATTCAGAGCAGACCAGATAAGTAGGAAGTGCTTTTACTATTATTTTAATTCTTGCAATAACTGCAAAATAAATACTTCTGCCCCATTATAAATCAATAAATTGATAGAGAGGGGGTAAGTAAGTTTTCACAATATTAAAATGGGCAAAAAAGAAAACAGTTTGGGGGCGCCTGAGTGGCTCAGTCGGTTAAGAGTGCAACTCTTGGTTTCAGCTCTGGTCATGATCTCAGGGTTGTGGCATCAAGCCCTACACAGGGCTGTGGGCTCAGCGTGGAGTCTGCTGGAGATTCAATCTCCCTTTCCCCCTGCCCCTCTCCCCTGCTTGTGCATTTGTGTGAGCTTTCTCTCTCTCAACAAATAAATAAAATCTTTAAAAAAAAACAAGTTTGTACAGGACCACAGAGCCACAGAAATCCACAGAAAGGCCAACACAGTATGAAATAAAAGTGGCATTTCAATAGAATGCTATAGTAAGTGCTTCATAAATAGTAACAAATGAAAAAGATAGGCTGTTTAACTAATATGCTTACACTCCTACCAAAATATACAGAAGACAACATTAAGATGGAAAAACACACCTTATCTCCCATAGGTAAAATCAATTTGCCATAAATTGATTTTTAAAGTATGTGTTAATCAAAATATTCCCAAAGTTATTTCTTAGAAATTGATTTTTAAAGTTCATGTGGAAGACATAAAATTATCCAGAAAAAATTGTGGATCTCAAAAGAAAAATATCCAATATTAGTGAAGGTGTGAGTAAAAGTTCTGGTGGAAACAGAACTTGGGATGGTCTTTTTGGAAAGCAATTTGGCAATATCTAACACACACACACACAACACAAAACACCATTTATTTTCTGACCAAATAATTCTACTTCTAAGAATTTATCCTAATCTTATAGGATATGCACAAATACATTTCTTTTTTTTTTTTAAAGATTTTATTTATTTATTTGCGAGAGAGAGAATGAGAGACAGAGAGCATGAGAGGGAGGAGGGTCAGAGGGAGAAGCAGACCCCCCGCTGAGCAGGGAGCCCAATGCGGGACTCGATCCCGGGACTCCAGGATCATGACCTGAGCCGAAGGCAGTCGCTTAACCGACTGAGCCACCCAGGCGCCCCAAATACATTTCTTATAACATATAATAGCAAAAAATTGGAAACAACCTAAATGTCCATCAGTAGGCTACTGGCTAAATTAATTATATCTCAATCCAACTGAATATCTATGACTATAGCGAAAGACTTCTATGATATAGTGTTACTTCCAAAAAGTAACAAAATATATTGCTTAGAAAGACGGCATTTATGAACAAAGCATATTTTATTTATTTATAATTACGGGCTGGAAGTGGCAAAGGTCAGGGGAGAGAATTCTACTTTTACTTACCTTACATATTTTTCTGCAATTTGAAGATTTTACAACAAGCATGTAATACTTGATTGCTTTCTGAAATAAGTTTAATAAATTAAATGTTAAATAATCAATAAATTTGGGCGCCTGGGTGGCTCAGTTGGTTAAGCGACTGCCTTCGGCTCAGGTCATGATCCTGGAGTCTCTGGATCGAGTCCCGCATTGGGCTCCCTGCTCGGCAGGGAGCCTGCTTCTCCCTCTGACCTTCCCCCCTCTCATGTGCTCTCTGTCTCTCTCATCCTCTCTGTCTCAGATATATAAATAAAATCTTTAAAAAAAACCCAATAAATTTATATAATTTACTTAATAATTTAATATAAATAATAAATTAATTATTTATAAAATAATTAAATAATTTTAAAAACTTGCAAAACAGGGGTGCCCAAGTGGCTCAGTCAGTTAAGTGTCTGCCTTAAGCTCTGGTCATGATCCCAGGGTCCTGGGATAGAGCCCTGCGTCAGGCTCCCTGCTCAGTGGGGAGTCTGCTTCTACCTCTCCCTCTCCCTGCCACCCCTGCTTCTGCTCCCTCTCTCTCAAATAATTAAATAAAATCTTAAAAAAAAACTGCAAAACAATTTTATTATTATGAATTGTGAGAGGAAGAACTTTTATGTTTAGACAATAGAATGACAGCCTAAAAGGACATTTTTCATAGCAGGCTGATAATAAATCTGACAAGTGGCTAGCTTTTTAAATATATTTTCAATCCCACTCTAGGGTCCTGATCTTATTTTGTGCTACATTCAAACCTCCCTCCAGACTGACCTTTAGCTAGCTGTGAGTAAATTTACTGACCCACTGGCTACAATATTAACCTCTGGAAATTTGAGATCCACCAAAAAGCACTATTTTTACACATTTAAAAAACTGTTGTTTCACTGATCCATGCCTAAGATACTACCATCAACAAAACCATGCCGTGCCAAATTCTACCTTCCTGGGCTAAGTTTGGTGTGGGTGGGAAGAAGCTATGGTGGGAGTGAGGAGCGGAAAGGCAACACATTGAGATAAGATCTTTGACATTTGTACTGTATTTCATCAAGTTAGAGCAGGGCCAGAACCAAGTCTCCTGTCTCCCAGAGAATTTTTTTCATGCCCCAAAAAGAAAAGGGAACTCAGAATAATAAAGACATGTGTTACTCTTTTTTTTATTAAGCACTTATCATGATCCAGGCACTGTGCTAAGTTTCTTAGATGGTTATTCTACTTAATCCTCACAACAACCCATGAGATATTATTATCCTCATTTTACCTAAGAATAAACAGATTAAAAAATAATAATCAGAAAACAATCCTATGGTACCCAAATCACAAATTTTGCTCCATTCTCTTTCTTCCTGAATCAGTTTTCTTAATCTGTTCTTTATCAAAAAAAGTAGTATTTCTAACAACATATCACCTAAATTTTACTTGTCATTAAATATTCACTTCTACAGCACTATATATATTTTTAAAGGTCCTACAATTCTTTTTGTTTTTCTTCTTCCTTGGCCCTCAATCAGCTCTGAGACATCTCAGAAAGCAGCACTTACTCCTCTCATTTTAGACGTGAAGATCCAAGGCCATTCCCATCAGAGGCAATTCCAAACACCTCAACACGCCACTAGACCCAATCACCTCACACTGAACTGACAACCCAGCTGCCAGTGTTACAGAGATAACAGAAGCCATCGGGCAAGAATTTTATTTCTCTCTGCCCTCACTTACACCTAAACTTACCTTTATCTGTATACTTTCTTCTCTCATTAAGTCAGAGAAAAAGGATTCATTCTTCTGTCCTCAACACTAATATGTGCCCTAGATCCCATTCCCTCCTAGCTATTTCAAGTCTTTACTCCACCAGTTAATCATCTCAATTTTCTGTTCCTTCAACCTCTCTCTCCATTGGCTAATTTCCCTCAGGGAACCAATATGCATGTACATTATTTGCTTCCACCTAAAAGCAAACAAACAAAAGCCTTTCTTGTATCCCATATTCCTCTTTACTGCCCTGTCTCTCCTTTCATTCTAAGCTAAGCTCCTTGAAGGCATAATTTAGACTGGCTGCCTCCATTTACTTTCTCCCATTCACTGAAACATGAATTCTGCCCTTACTGCTCCACAGAAATTGCTCTCCGTGAAGTCATTAAGAGCTCTTCAACACCAAATCTAAAGACACTTTTCAGTTATCAAACCTTTATCCTGACTCAAACCTCTGAGTTCCAGT